ATGAAAAGTGAGTTTTTGCCAACTTCAAGCCTTCGATTCTCCCTAACCACAAATGTGTTTGAGGAGTTCTTGGACAATTTGGAAAGCTTCCAACATGATCTATAATACATATTTGAAATTCAACTTGAGATTCCAAGTGGAACTATGTGAAAAATGGCCAAGAAGATAGGTCAAAATCCTGCCTAAACTAGGGCAAAATTTCACTAAGTTAAAAGTTTTAGGGACCCTTGTTCCAAAAATCATAACTTGAGATCCAAGCTTATTTTAAGAAAACTTTGTGAATCAAAGTTGTAGACTTTGTGGAGGAATACAACTTTCATGTTGGTGGTTTTGTTTGAATCCAAACGCATCATGGGGAAAATGTGGGGCAAAGTTAGGAAAAATTAAGAAAATTTCATAACTTAGAAAAATTCTAAGTTATGAATTTTTTCAACTTTAAACCCTAATTTGCAATTTTGGATTTCTTGATAAACAAGTTTCATATTTTGACACATCTTGATGAAAAATGACCCTTGGCACTTGATTTTGACCAAAAAGTCAAAGTTTGACTTTTCAGTGTACAGTCAAATTTTGATCAGTTGACTGAAAAATTCATTTGTCAATCCCATGCATTTGAGATCTTTTGAACTTGTTGAATAAGTCAAGATGATGTCATTGAGTCCTTGAGTCCATGGTTGAGCCTAATTTTCCATTGGCTAAGTCAAAAAGTCAAAAAATTGCATTTGTATAGTCAAAACCCTAAAAATGACCATTTTGCCCTTTTGGTGATCTGATCAAATTTCTTGTGGAGTTGTGGTCCAAACTTGATCAAATGGTTCATATGAGTTCATAATGTTGATGTGGGTCAAAATTCATGAGGTTTGACTGTAAATTGGCCACAGTTGACTTTTTCCCCAATACAACTTTCTAGGTCAATTATCCAATTGACTGGGCAAAAATTTGATTCAAGGCTTGAAACTTGGTATGGACAAACTTATGAGTCCAATACGAAGTATGAAAGTCAATTTGAGCATTGAAGGTTCAAAAATCCCTGTGCAAACTCAAACCCTAATTTAGGTCATTAGTGCAAGGAGATGTCTTGAGCAGAGCAAACCCTAACTTGATCTTGAGTTCAAAGAGCCTTGTGATGAGAAATGTTGATAAAATGAGAGGGAAAATTTTGGGGTACAACATATTGTTTCAGGACTTTAGCAATCGTGTTCTAAGCTGTAATGTCTTTGTGTATTAGTATGGAGAAAGTTTCAAATCTACTCTTCAACAGATTTCTGAGTTGTAGGCTTTTTGCACACTTTCTTGCTTTTGAAGCAAAGTGAAGGGACAAGTCTCCACATGCTTGTACTGGCCTGCTTGGAGTTGGTATAAGCTCTATACAAATTGCTCTAGGTCTGTAGGACTTGTGTGTGCAGAGAAGACAGGTCCAATGCTCAAGAATTGAAAAGTTGCAAAAGTTTAGCTTTTCCAAAATGGCAATGACAACTTTGTGCCATTTATGGAATTAAAGCTTGGACAAATACCCTTGGGCTTGGATTAAAGTTTTGTCAACTGATTAAGCATTAAATTATGAAGTGAGAAACAAGTTTGAGACCTGTAAAGCAAGGATTAGGCAGCATAGGTTCTGATTTGGATTTTGTTCTTCATGAAATGGCTTGAATTCAAAGTGAGAAATTGCCAATTTCATATATTCGATTCTCCCTACTCAAAAATGATATTAAGGAGTTCTTGGATATTTTGGAGAGCTTGGAATGTGCTCTATAACTCATATTTGAAATTCATTTCAAGATTCCTCTTGGAACTAGGTGAAAAATTGCCATGAAGGTGGGTCCAAAACCTGTCTAAATTAGGGCAAAATTTCATTAAGTTATTTTAGTTCATGGGCATGTATTCATAAAATTATATCTTGAGATCCAAGCATCTTTAGGGAAAAATGTGTGAAGCAAAGTTGTATATTTCATAGGGGTCTACAACTTTCATGTTGGGAACTTTCTTTGAATCGTCTTGTATCATGGTGAAAAATTGGCCTAAAGTTGAGAAGAAATAAGAAATTTTCTATACTTAGAAAAATTTCTAAGTTAAGAAAAATTCAAATTTCAAAATCAAATCTTCAATATTTGATTCCTTGACGAACAATTTTCATATTTTGACATGTTTTGATGAATTGTGATCCTTGGTATTTGATTTTGACCAAAAAGTCAAAGTTTGACTTTTCAGTATACAGTTGACTGCAAATTTCATTTGTCTATCCAATGGATTTGCAATGTTTTGAACCATGTAATTAGGTCAAGATGATGCAATTGATCCCTTGAAATCATGCTCAAATCAATTGTCATTTTCCAGGTCAAAAATCTGAAATTACCCTTCCTCAGTCAAAACCCTAATTTTGACCATTTTGCCCTTTTGATGATTTGATCAAATTTCTTGAGGAATTGTGGTCCAAACTTCACTACAAGAAAATTAATGTTTAACGACACAAAAATTGCGACAGTTATGTGATAACTGTCGTAATTGACATATAGAGACAATGTTTACGACAGTTGACACCAACCGTCCCTAATATTTATTTTGCGACGGTATATTTAACCATCATAATATTATTATTACGACGGTAAAACAACCGTCGGCCCCCATTTAACACTTTTAACATTGATTTTTCACCAACAACTAGTCACGACGGTAAAATTAACCGTCCTAAAAGGCATATCACGACGGTAAAGCACCCGTCGCACCCTTAAACCTTTCACGACGGTAAAATTATCCGTCCTAAAATTCATTTCACGACGGTAAAACAACCGTCGCACCTAAAACCTTTAAAAATCTCTTGCTAACTTATATATTTTATCTAATTATAATTGTTATGTATATTTAAGTTCTCTCTTGTTAAGGTTAAGTTTATGCAATATTATATATTCTATGAATTTGATACGACAATGGTGTTATGTTCAATTTAATCAATCAAATAAATTTAATCTTTCATCTTTTTCTCAATGCTTGTTATATTTGTATTATGCTTGAGGAGGATCTATGAGATGTCGAGACGGTCTGATAGGACTAGACCAAGGGTAACTTATGGTTATGCCTCGAAAGACATGACTTTTATAACATGATATGTGGATTTAATTGATGTTGAAAAATGATTTTAAGTTTATACCTAAATAATCATTTATCATGAGCTAAAGTATATACATAGAGCTTGACATAATATTCATATATATAGTTGAAACACAATGTTATTGTTAAATTTATACCTAATCCTAACTAAACACAAATTGAGTTGCACATTTCCTCTGAAGTTAGAATTTTGATAAACCCATCTCGCAGCCATTACAAATCGTGTATTGAAGTGAAGAATGCTTCCTCAGCGAATGAAGAAAGCCGTTACGGATAACCCTAAAAAGCTCGCAAACTTGATCGATCTCGTTAACCTTCCTCCCACTCTCAGAGACTTCGTCGGTCAATCTCAGACTTCTCGATTAACCTGTTTTATGCGTGTTTGGTCCTACGTCAAAACCAACAATCTTCAGGTTCTGCTTTGTTTTTTCAACTCATGAAAATTGAACCACATTCTAATGTCCTCCTGCATCACTATTCTTCGAACATCTCTCATCTTCCAACCGGTAAGTTTTCTATAACACTTTTTCTTTGTTCTCATCTTCACATATCTCTCTCATTCTTTAACATTGATTTCACCATTGGAGATTCACATGAATCTTAGGGTTGAGCTCTTTGTGATTCAAACATCACAACAAGCATTCATATCGACATTAAACCCAATCACCAACAATAAACCCTAAAACCCCAATTTATTCACGATTCAATGAGCAATACAAGTTATAGCGTTCATAATCACAAGGGGAAAGGGTATCGAGTAATAACACAAAGAAAATAGACAGAAGGGAATAACGATTTAAAACCCTACAACATACAACATCTTCAACATTTGTTGTATTCTTTCCCTCTGCACAATCGGTATTGTATATATTTTGACTTATTTTAGGGTTTGTTATGTGAAACTTAAGTTCTATGTCTAAAACAATTTGTAACTTTTATTCTTCTTTTCTAATCCAAAGTCTAAACTGAGTTTTTGCAGGAAAATATGGATATTCTTATTGTGAAAGCACAGAAGATTGAGGTAGTTGAACTTAATTGTTGTTGAACTTGTTTCTGCTACTTTAAATCAACCCACTTTTTTATCTGCTCAAGGAATAAGTTTTGTAATCTTATTTTGAAATCTCTGGATGTCAGGTTTTGGATGAAGCGTACTGAAAAAAGCAAAAAAAATTGTAAACTTTTGTTTGACTTCTTCCTAATCTCTTGCAGGGGATAACTATTTCATATATTATTGAAAAAGAGTGGTTTTGAACAGGTTATATGCTTAGTTGCTTATATAAATTTGGTCATTGAACCTTGTATGTTTTTGGATAATTGGATATTGTCATTAGTTTACAACCATATTTTTGATTTTTGATTTTTGATTTTTGTCAAGAGTGACCCTTCATAATACCGAATCTGAAAGTAAGTGATGGAAAGAGAGAGAAAGAGAGAGAGATTCTCAACTACTAGGCTGTGTTTGGCTGTTTTTATCTTGCAGTGAAAGCTGTGAGATTGGGATTGATGGATTTGTGATAGAGTTTAGTGGCTAGAGCTCTGATTTGCCAAAATTGAGTTAGTTACCTTCATAATCAGTTTTAGCTCTTTTAGTGCTTTGAAATTGGAGTTTCTTACCAAGTCCATATATGGTTGACCAAACAGAACCTAAGATTTTTTTTTGTTATTTTATTCTTTATACTCTGTCAATCTTGCAAGATAAGTTAATATAGATTTTTTTCTATTACTTGTTTATATGTTTATAAGAAGCTACATGAATAATTTTCATTAAATTTTTCTGTTTGTGAATAAGCGATATCAATTGGAGCAAAGAAAAAAAATTTATATGCTTTGAGTTTCTGCTGATCTACTTTTTTTTACCGTGTAGTATATTGGAGACAGCTAGAAAGAGAACTATAATGGCTAGCGTTGGGCATGGAAATGGACTCATAAATGGTGTAGTATCGAATAAGCACACTGCTACAATATCTGAAGTAGATGAATTCTGCAATGCCCTTGGGGGAAATAGGCCGATTCATAGTATATTGATTGCGAACAATGGAATGGCGGCTGTCAAGTTTATACGCAGTGTTAGGAGTTGGGCTTACGAGACGTTTGGCACGGAAAAGGCTATCTTGTTGGTTGCCATGGCTACTCCAGAAGACATGAGAATCAATGCAGAACATATCAGAATAGCTGATCAGTTTGTGGAAGTACCTGGTGGGACCAATAACAATAACTACGCCAATGTGCAGCTTATTCTAGAGGTATGTGATGTCGACTTCATGAGATTACTGCAGCTTATTTATTCTTGTCATTTAAAGGATTTCAGTGCTTATGTAATTGTGACTATTTTGATCTGCATAACTTGTTAATTTTGCTGACGGCAATGCAATGTGTTTTCCAGATTGCCGAGATAACTCATGTTGATGCGGTATGGCCTGGTTGGGGTCATGCATCAGAGAATCCTGAGCTACCAGATGCATTAAAAGCAAAAGGAATTGTATTTCTTGGGCCTCCTGCAGTATCTATGGGGGCATTGGGAGATAAAATCGGTTCATCGTTGATCGCTCAAGCAGCCAATGTGCCAACCCTTCCATGGAGTGGTTCACATGTAAAGTTTTTCTCCCATTGTAGTGTACTTCATTTGTATGGGTTACCCGACTTATGACTTAAAATATTGTATGGTCATCTTTAATTCATTCGTCGCATAATATATACTTAATTAAAATATTTTTACAGGAGCTCAGCTTTAAAAGCAAACCAAATGTTTGGGCTTACTTCTCTGTTAAGGTAAATCTTCTATCTCTTTGTTAGTACTTTTAATTTGATTGGCGAGGCACTAAATTTTGGCAATTATATGTTTGCAGTCTGGAGGAGGAATCCATGAATTTTCAGATTCTCAATTTGGTATGCAGTAACTTTGATCGAGAAATTGCAGATTCTAGGCTATCATGTTGATATTTTAATGTATAAATATATATTTTTTCAGCAGCTAATATCATAAGTTTTAACACAGGACATGTTTTTGCCTTTGGAGAATCGAGGGCTTTAGCAATTGCAAATATGGTTTTGGGGCTGAAGGAAATTCAAATTCGAGGAGAAATTCGTACTAACGTTGATTATACAATTGATCTTCTGAATGTAAATTTTTATCATGATGACAAGGTAATGAAGTTTTGTAAAACAGGTTGATGTAAATGGACCATTTACTGCTCCAGTATACCAGTTTCTGAAATCAAGTTCCGGGGGCTTTTTTGGTGATCTTGTCAAGTGGAATCTTAATTAAAATAGGAGAGAATCTTAATTTAGCAACTCGGTATGCTATGATATTAATGTATTTGTGATTTCAATAAGACAGGTATATTATTTTGACGCATTTAAAGTTAAATTTTATGAGTATTATTTTAAAGATTATTATTTTAATACCTTTTTTTAGGGATTGGAATCACCCGCTGATGGTAGACGTTCATCTGAGTCTATCTACCGTATTGGAGATAATGGAACTTCAGGGGGGACAAATTAGACTTTGCTATGATCGAGATAATTAGATTGTGAACTTTCTCATGTATTTTTGGCATAATGATACTTATTATTATAAGATTAGGAATTGATATATTTTGGGTTTTTTGTACTACTTGACATGATTATGGAACTCGCATTTTACATGATTATGGAACACACATTTTTTTGGATATTATAATGCTTATTTGATGTTAAATATTTTTTATTGAAATTATTTTTACTATATTACAAAGTGATAGAAAATAAAACAAAAAATAATACTATAAATAAATATATTAAAGAAGAAATAATTTAAAGAAAAAAATAACACAAAAAAAAAACTATATTTAAATTTTTTTACATAGATAATAATTTAAATAAAAAATATATATAATAGAAAAATAAAAAAAAATCAAGACATAAACAAAAGTCATGGCGACAGTACCGAACCGTCGTAATCAACAATTAAAAATAATCAACAAAAGTCATGACGGTATCGAACCGTCGCCATAAACAATTTAATCAATTTCAAAAGATATTCACGACAGTATCAAACCGTCGCCATCAATAATTATAAGAAACTCAAAAGATAGTCACGACGGTATCAACCCATCATAAACTTGAACGACAGTTTTTGTAACCGTCGCGAAATAGGTTGGGGACACACACTTCTGCGACGATAAAGCAACCGTCGTAGAAAGCAAATTGCGACGGTTTTAACCGTCGTAATCTACAAAAATACCTGTCGCAATCTGCCAATTTTCTTGTAGTGCTTGATCAAATGATACATATGAGTCTAGAATATTGACGTGGATCAAAAATTATGAAGTTTGACTGTAAATTGGTCATGGTTGACTTTTTCCCCAATACAATTGATTTTTAGGTCAACTATCCAATTGACTGATCAAAAATGTGGTTCAAAGCTTGAAACTTGTCATGGGAAATCTTAGGGGTCCATAATGATGTTTGAAAGTCATATGAAGCATTGATAATCCAAAAATCCTTGTGCAAACTCAATCCCTAATTTTGGGTCAATAGTGTAAGATGAGATGTCTTGAGCTGACCAAACCCTAATCCAGTCTGAGTCAAAGAGACCTTGTGAGAAAAGTCTTGATAAATGAGAGGGCAAATTTTGGGATACAACAACGTGGCCGCCATGATGAGGGTGCTCGAAATGGATTTGACGCTGAATGATGAGGCTGCGGGCTCTCAGGCCACTCTCGACAAAGCGCACGCCCGGATTCAGAAGCTGCAGGGTATAAATGAAAAGCTGAAGGGCAATATCCTCAACCATGAAATAAAGTATGAGGCTCAGGTTTAACTTCTCAAGGATCTGAATGAGCTATGGCCTCACTTGATGTTGCGACTAAAGAGAATGAGCGGTTGGTCTCCAGAATAAAAGAGTTGGAGGGGATCGTGGCACCGACTGACGAAGAGACTGAGGCAAAGAAAGCCATCACGAACAGGGGATATCTAATCGCGTGCATTTGTGTGCTCGAGCAAGATGTCGTGGATACCCTTGATTACGACTTTAACCCAGTCATAGAGCAGTTCAAGATATTGAACCCTGGGGTCGAATTAGTGGTTGAAGGTGCGAGGCCATTCAATCAAGTGGTTGATGGAAAAATAATTTATCCCCTCGATGATAGTCCCGTGGAGGATAGTGACGTGGAAGATGAGATCTGATATGTTTTTGGGCCTGCGTGCCCGCTTTTGTTTCAGTTTGGATTTATGGCATGTGTGCCTATACATTTTGTAATTATTTAAACAGCGTCGGCCTTTGGGTAGGCATTTATAAATTATTTTATTTTGCATTTATGCCCTTGTTGATGTTTGTTAAATACTTGCTTGTCGTTGTTCTTGACTTGTTTATTTTATGAAAGTTGGTACTTCCATGACTAGAGATTTGTGCTCGACCTTGGTTGTGGTCGACACATGTTGAGATGTGTTGAGGAGGCGGTGTAGGAATCTACGGGACAAACTCAAGATTACGGTCGAAATCTTGATTTTGTGGTGTGCACTGCCCATCACGAGTTGGGTGTTTTTCCAGTTGGATACTTTGACAGCAGAGCTCGATCAAGGTGTCCCCTTCGGGATAAGGTTTTTCTCGAGAAATGAACAAAACCTGCATTTCATTAATTTTTAGAGGCTATGTTCGTACCTCAACATGCCTCTGCAGTCAAGCGTGTCCTATCGTCTGTAAGAGAGGACCAGTCGACTACTAATGCTCGTCGTTTTGATAAGAACTTAGTTGTAACATTGTTTCAATTTTGTAGCGTTCCATGGTCGAGGCAGTAGTTCTCCATTTAAGTGTTCGAGGTAGTATGCCCCAGTGTCTGTAACTCTATGGACGCGATACGGTCCCTCCCAGTTCGTAGCCAGCTTCCCCTCACGGGAATCTTTCTGATTCCTCCGGAAGACTAGGCTGTCGGCTTGGAACTCGCGTATTATGAATTTGTTGTCATGGAGAAGAGCTACCTATTGTTTCAGCGTGGCTTCGCGAAGATCTGCTCCTGATCGGATTTCCTCGACTAGGTCGAGCTATTCTCTTAGGGTCTCATCATTTAATTCCTCGTCGAGAGGGACTTCAGTTCGCCTGGATGGCTCCATGATCTCCACGAGAATGACTGATTCGGTGCCATAGGTTACCCGAAATAGGGTCTCACTGGTCGTCGATGTTGGTGTAAGTTGTAACTGCAAGCTTCTCAAGTCATGTTTAAAGCATTGGTTTTGATGAAGACAACATGGATATCAACATTCAAAGGATGTGCAAAAAGTTTATCAATATCATATAAAACCTTGTTACAAGTCTTGAAGATTAGAAGAAGAATTATTAAAGAAACAACAAATGTCAAAAGGTATAAATAATTCTTAAACTTGAATATAGATGTTCACAAATATGCATTCATAATCATATACATATCCCACATTTTTAACAATAAGAAAAACTATGTTTGAGATCTTTTTCAAAAGGATTTTTTGAAAATAAACTTTCAGGAACCGGTTCCTACCTAACAGGGAACCGGGTTCCAAACTTGTTCAAAAAACACCTCCCTGGAATTTGTACCAGGAACCAGGTTGTACCTATAGGGGAACCGGTTCCTGCGTGTTATTTTTGAATTCTGGGTTATAACGTTCACTAAGAACCGGGTTCTGCCTTTGTCGGAACCGGTTCCCAGCGAACCAGTACAGATTTTCTTTTGTTTTTTGAACATAATTCAAATGGTATTCTTTCATGATTGCATTGTATCTTTTCATATCAAATGGCATGAATGAAGAGTTATTTGTGACATTATAAATTGTGCAGTTTTTCAAATTCAAATTTGCATATTCTTATAAACTTTCAAGTGTTCTTACAAATCATAAATTTTGTGAAACTTGCCATATACATTTTCATTAAGAAATCATTACAAGTTTCATACATTCATTGTGAACATTTATAATCATTGCTTGAGAATTGTTTCTTTCTTGAAGAAGAAGATCAATCAAAGATTGATAGTGCTCTCCATCTCTTTCAAATAAATCATTGTATTACAAAAAGAAAGTATTCCCTTACTATCCAGGATTGTTGTAAGTAAGTGTTGTGATTTGAAGAGGATTGTTCTTCATTCACATTAGTGTTTGTTTGACCTTAAAGGTGTTAAGAACCTTTGGTCACCCTATAGGTTAGATAGTAAGCATAGGTTGTACAATCATTCTAAACTATAGTGAAATCTCTTTCGTGTTGGAAAGGGGACTGGAGTACTCTCGGATTGTGAGGGGAACCAGGATATATCATCGTGTTCTTTACTTTTCCGCTTTTATCGTTTCCATCACCATAATCAAGAAAAGATAAGATATAATCAAAAACCTTCAAACACTTAACCACAAATTACTACAAGTATTCTCATAAAACCGAATAAATTTTTATATACCTAATTCACCCCCCCCTCTTAGGCACTCTTAGACTTACAATTGGCATCAGAGCAAGTTATAGGTAACTTTTTCCTAAAGATCCAGAATGGCTTCCGCAAATCAAAATCCGGTTTTCAAAGATGGTGGTAGTAACAACAAGCCTCCATTGTTTTGTGGTGAATACTTTGAATTTTGGAAAATTCGCATGAAGGCTCATCTTGAAGCGCAAGGAGAAGAAATATGGAATGCTGTTGAGAATGGTCCATTTACTCCGGTGTGTGTTGTCAATGGTGTTGGGTCATCAAAGCCTAAAGCATCATGGGATGACGATGACAAGAAAAAAGTTCTCTTTGACAAAAAGGCAATCAATATTCTCCAAAGTGCTCTTAGTATGGATGAATTTTTCCGAGTATCGGCATGTACAACGGCAAAGGAAATTTGGGATACTCTTGTAGAAACTCATGAAGGAACCGCCAAAGTCAAAAGGTCTAGATTGAACACTTTGAGTCAAGAATATGAATTATTCAGAATGCTGCTCGGAGAATCCATCCTTGACTTGCAAAAGAGATTCGTTCACTTGACAAACCATTTGAAGGCACTCGGTAAGACTTTAACTAACGATGAATTAAATCTTAAAGTGCTTAGGTCTTTAACTAGGGAATGGCAACCAAAAGTGACGGTAATATCCGAAAAGAAAAGCCTAGCAACTATGACTTCCGCAACACTTTTTGGAAAGCTTCAAGAATATGAGACGGAACTTGGAAGGCTTGAAAAACATGAGAATCATGAGAAGAAATCCAAAGGCATTGCTTTGAAAGTTGATTCAAAAGAAAGTCAAGATAAAGATGCATCAGAGGAAGATGAAAACTTCTTGCTTCTTGTAAAAATAAAGAAATTTTATAAGCATAAAGATAAAGAAGCCTCCACATCAACACAAGATGTCACGTGTTATGAATGTGGAAAGCAAGGACAAATCAAGCCAAACTGTCCAAGTCTCCAAAAGAAAAATGGATTCAAAGGAAAGGACTCAAAACAAAAGAAAGCCTACATAGCATGGGAAGATAATGATATGAGCAGTTCATCGGAATCGGAAAGCGACGAATGTGCAAACTTAGCCTTAATGGCATC